AACAAATATTTTTCTGTATTCTGAATTCTTTAGAAAATAATTTGTTCAGACATTGTTGGAATTAATGTTTCCATGTGTATTGTGTTTTCGGGACAGTTTTTGGCCAGGGGGGACCTACAGGGTTGGCTTCTATAAGAAGCTTTCTGAGGCTTCCTCCATGCCTGGCAGAGCCAATGCCTGCAGCTCCAAAGACAGATGTGCCACTGGTCAAGTCTGGTCCAAATAGAAATGGTGGTAACACCTCTGTGATAACAGATTTAAGATGAAGAAAAACAAAAGTTATTGGGCAGATGTAACTGTGTCCAGAGAAGAGCAGAGTGAGAACGTTTGAGAGGAACAACTTCAGCTCAGGTGGAGGGGCAGGAGGTGCTCCAGGCTCTGGATCTGAGTCGCCTGCAGCCTGTGGTGCAGTCCATGGTGAGGCAGCTGTGCCCCTGCAGCCCTTGGAGAACCTCTGGCATGCAGAGATCCATGCACAGCCCATGGAGGAGACCCATGCCAGAGAAGGTGGATGCCCAGGAGGAGGCCAAGAACCCATGGGAGGCCTGTGCTGGACCAGGCTCCTGTCAGGGACCTGCAGACCCATGGAGAGAGAGCCCGTGCTGCAGCAGAAGTGCTTACTGAGCAGCTTTCTGTCATTTCCCAGAAGTCCTGGCTAACTGGGGAGGAATCTCCCAATTGCCTGGCAGTTACCAAATGTCACTTCCACCTACAAGAAAGGTCAGAAAGAGGATCCGGGGTGCTACAGGTCTGTCAGTCTAACATCAGTGCCAGGGAAGGTCATGGAGCAGATCATCTTGAGTGCCATCACACGGCATGTGCATGGTACCAGGTCCAGCCAGCATGGGTTTATAAGAGGTGAGTGTTGCTTGACTGACCTGATCTCCTCCAATGACAAGATGTCCCAGTAAATGGGTGAGGAAAAGGCTGTGGATGTTTTTACCTCGACTATAGTAAAGCTTTGACACCATTTCCCTCATAATTCTCCTGGAAAATGTCTTCTCATGGCTTGGACAGGTCCACTGTCCAGCAAGTTTAGTGTGAGTGTTGACCTGCTGGAGGGTAGATGGCTGTGCAGAAGGATCTGGACAGGCTGGACCAATGGGCCAAAGCCAATGGTGTGAGATTCAACAAGGCCAAGTGCCAGTTTCTGCACATGGGTAGCAACAACCCTGTGCGAGGCTGCAGGCTCGGAGCAAAGTGCCTAGAAAGCTGTCTGGTGAAAAAGGACTTGGGGGTGCTGGTCAACAGTGGCTGAACATGATCCTGGGTGTGCCCAGGAGGCCAAGAAGACCAATGGCATCATGGCCTGTATCAGCAATGATGTGGCCAGCAGGACAGGATAAGTGATTTTCCTCTTGTACTCAGCACTGGCGGGACTGCACCTCAGATCCTGTGTCCAATTTCAGTCTCATCACTACAAGAAGGACATTGAGGTGCTGGAGCATGTCCAGGAAAGGGCAACAGAACTAGTGAAGAGTCTGGAGCACAAATCATGTGTGGGGTGTTTCAGGGAACTGGGATTGTTTAGCCTGTAGAAAAGGAGTCTCAGGGGAGACCTTATTGCTCTCTGGAACTACTTGAGAGCAGGTAGCAGCCAGGTGGGTGTTGATCTGTTTTCCCATGTAACAAGTGACAGAATGAGAGGAAATGGTCTCACAATGTGTTGAGGGAGGTTTAGAGAGGATATTAGGAATAATTTCTTCATGGGCAGGATTGTTAAGCATTGGAACAGGCTGTCCAGTCACTGTCCCTGGAGGTATTTAAAAGACCCACAGATGTGGTGCTTAGGGCCATGGTGTAGTTGTGGGCTTGGCAGTATTAGGTTCATGGTTAGATTTGATGACCTTAAAGGTCTTTCTCAATGTAAAGGACTCTAGGATTCTATGAAAAGATGTTTTAAAAACAGATAGTGTTCCAGTGTAAACAATTCATTGCAAGCATGCACTGCACCATGTTGCACAACAGGACCTACTTCCCCTTTAGATCCTAAATTGGCAGTTTTGGTCTTTCACTGCACATCAGAGTAAGGAAAAACCATTGCTTTGGCAGCACTGTATTTTTCATGACTCCCCTTTATTTTTGCAAAGATATGTTTTCTTGGGGGTTTTCTTCATTGTTTTGTTTTATTGATTTTCATTCAAAATGTTTATTTTGTACATATTTCACAAAAGAATATTTGCAGAAGTACAAACATACCACAGGCTTGGACTAAGTAATATTCCTATTTCCTCAATTATATACCATCCTCGTAACACCTGTTCATGCTGTGAAACAATATTTGACATGTTGATCTTCTTCACTTCCGTCTGGTCCTTCCAATAAAAAGAAAAATAATAATACAGTAACAAATCAAACCAGCATGTCATCTGCAGTGACAGTCTTGGGTTTTGTTTCTCTTGCTTTGAGTTTCTGAGAATATCAAATGCCCAGGTTTTCAGAGAGTTTTACTCTAAAAACTGCTCAACATCTGGTGTAACATGGGTCAGATAAGGTGCTGGATTAAGAGGAGGTGGAATACCTTTAAGTATAGGGAAAAAACTCAGACCTTATATTAGAAAAGGAGAAGCAATATGAAAGGATGGGGAGGCCATGACAGTACCAGAGAAAAGGAATGAAAAAAAAAGGGCGTTGTGATGACGGAGCAGAATGCAATTCATGGGTATAAGAACAGGTAGGTTTTATTGTTCAGTCAAAGATTTCAAAGCTGACACGACTTTTTACTTCTCAGACATTCTAAAACCCTTCTGCAAATACAGTATCCAAAAGGTTTTGACAACCTCAGCTCTCCAGATATTTAACAAATGCCTTTTTAGGATCAGATATTTATTGTTTGAATGTCTGTTTGAGGCTCAGTATGAATAGGACCTCCTGTGGCAGTACAGCTCTTTTGAACCCAAACATGGGGCTGCTATTACATCCTAAATCATAAAAGAAAAAAATTGTTCAGTGCAGCTCTGATCTGCTCCCTCTAAATTCTAAATCTAAATTGGAATAATACCTCTGAGCTGGTTGAGAAAGTATTTTTCTTTACTGATATATTACGCAAGTTTTTGGTAAATGTAGAAAAACTTTAATTTACCTAGAGCTGAATTTACCAAAGAGCTAAATTAGAAAACCATTAAGTCCATTTAGGGACATCAACAGGAAAAGAATATGCTATTCAAATTGAATTTCAGACTTGACCTACAAATAGAAAAGTATGAATTCATCTTTATTTCTGATTTTAATTTCTTTTGATTGTTTCTTTTCAGTTGGCTTTGGCTACTGGACTCCAGAGACTTTCAGTGTCCATCATGTCTTTGTGAAAGCAGTTGTACACTCCAAACTAATTACTTCTCAATTTCTATATATTTTCACTTTGTGATGAGTCACATATACTGAGTTTTCCTACACTACATTTCCCTTTACAAAATATTTCTTGCCAGGCCCACAAAAGCTTTTAAGCTTTTTGTTTTAAGTTTTAATTTGTTGCCTTCTTAGTTTTCTGACATTTCAGTTGGGAACATAAGCAGTAAAATCAGAGTTAGAATTACCTTTACTGATATCAGACAGACATAAAAATACTTCTTTACTTAATCTTTTTACCGGGACATCAGTATAGTGTTCAGCGCTGTTTTCCATGGCCTCTCCTTAACAAACCGGAAAGATACAGACTGAATGGGTTGTATGTGAGAAGTGTAGGAAATTGGCTAACAGTTCACACTCAGAAGGTGGTCATCAATGGCTTTTGCTCAGGTTGTCAACCTGCCACAAGTGAGGTCCCTGAGGGATTGTTACTGGGCCCCGTTCTGTCCCACATGCTCAAAAATTGCACAGGTGATGGGATTGAAAGCACCCTCCCCAAGATTCCTGATGCTGCAAGTGTGGTGGTGAGGTGAACATGTCAGAAGGGCAAGCCATCCCACAGAGAGACCTGGCAGGATGGAAGGAGAGCCAGAGAGAGCAGTATGGAGTTTATAAGAGACTATGTTAATTCCTGCACCTGGGATGAAATAACCAAAAAGCCCACTACAGGTGAGCATGTGTGTGGCTGCCAAGGAGCCTTGCTGAAAGGGACATGGGGTGCTGGTGGGCAACAAGCTGAACATGAGTCAGCAGCACCAATGGCAGGTCTAATTCCTGGGCTGCACCCTACAAGGAACTACATTCTTTAAAATTAATCCATGTGGTCTATTGTGGTAAATCAAATATAGTTGATCAAAATTTAAGATCAAAATATTAGTTTAAAATAACATATTTGATCTGATACCCTGCTCAGTGCTTATGTGGGTGAGCTAGAGAAAGATCTTTATAATAATGTGAAATTGCCAAAGCCAAGATGAATCTGAAAAAAATTTCAGCCATATTTATTTATTCTTTAAGTATTATATAACTCCTAAAATTCCTCTCAATAAACATGTGGACAAAAAGGACAGAGAACTTTTTTCAGCTCTTTGTAGCTTAGGCAATCTACCAAATGTTTTCCCAGACACAGAAAAGATAGAGATATACTTGAATACACTTCATGGAAGTGGCCCCCAGAGAGTCCTACTGATGCTACAAAGACATTTACAAGTGCAAGAATCTGTTAGAATTACTTCCAGATCTGGAGTTTAGCTTGCAAGTTTTATGGATAATGACTTGGTAAAATATATCTCAGTTATTTTATTGTGATTTCTTTTAAGCAAATGGTAAAAATGTGAGTTATAAAAAGATGATGAAACATTTTTATCTAAGTTAATGTTGAAGATCACAAGCAGAAAGTGCTTGAAAACCTCATCAGTTATAATTATTCATTACTTTAGTGCCTTAGTGCAGCACAAATATGTATTATGCATACCTGCTGGTCAGAGGGACTTTTTCTTCATATAATATTGGATGTTGAAAACAGTATGAAGTTCAAGCCTTACCAGAGTTTTTCATCAAACAAGCAAAAAATTGACTTTTTTTTTTTCTCCCCAAGACTCACAGGCATTTCCAAAGTGGAACATGATTTCAAGGTTAACTGTCATTCCCACCTCCCAGTTCCTTACATGTAAAATCAGCAAGTATAGACTATCCATCGGCATGAGACTGTGTGAGGTAAGGAAATATAATGACAAGATGTAAATTTTTCCGTTGAAAATCTCAGCACAGTGACTCTCATGGATGGAGTTTTTTCATGTTTAATACTATGGCTGTGATGCAGCTGAGGAGCAGCTGCTGTTAGGAATTCTGGGAACTGCAGAGATTTCACAGTGGAATTAAATAAATGCTCTGCCCCACTGTGATTCCAAGGGAACGGTATAAACCTTCCCACAGGGAAGGTGTACTATTTTTGATTAGCACATCATTCCAAAAACCCCTAAGATGCAATGCATCTCACACCATGTATAAACTGTGAATTGCACCTGAAAATAGTTCTTTTTTTTTGGTGAAATTAGGCATTTTGAACATTATCTTTGTGGCCAGCAGTACATTCTTTCATTAAACTGAGATTTTAGCAGCCTTCCTGTGAATGACCATCTAAACAGTGGCACATGCAGATGAAGACAGGACAGAGGTTGAAATCTACTGCCTGAAAGAGTCTAAGAGACATCTTGTTGTGTATTGTGACCAGCAGTCACACTAGTGAAGGCTTGGACAGCCACCGTTCTCTTACCTTTCCATTAGTTACTCACGTTGTGTTTTTGCAGCTCTCTCCTCCCTGTTGCTGACCAATTCGAGTGGAATACTCTTGATGGTCTTACCTCTCTCTCTTTTCCCCTTATCTTGAGCCCTGTTTGAGGTCTAGGAAGTCTTCCTTCTCCAAACAATGTCTTGTACAGCTAAGGACTGTGCATAAATTGGAAAAAAATTGGACAGAAATAGCGATGGACTGAGAGTTTTGTGGGACCAAGCAGTTTATTTTAGTGATTGCATAATTAGGTCTGAGAAGGGGCAGGAAAGATCTTAGAAGAGAAATAACTTGTGTGATAGGGACAATGTCAAGGACACTCAAGGTAAATATTAAGAGTTGGGAAGGGATCCAAGAATGCCTTGCTCTAAGGAATTAATAGGGAGCAGAGTAGGTTGGTGTTCAAGGGAGGGATGATAATCCAGATCACTGAGCATGAATTTAAACAGAGATTAGATACAGACTTACAATAAGATCTACAATTTGTGCAAAATTTCAGGTAAATATCATTCATCAATGAAAAATAAAATAGCCAGAAATCAGAAAGGCTGCAATAATGAAAGTCTGGTATGATGAAAATTCCTAAATCCTCTTATCTTGACAATTTTATTTTTCAAATTTAGGATTTACAGTATATTTATTGATAATGCAAAGTAAGGAATAAGACATTTTAAAAAATATATATATTTATATATATTTGGGAAAAAAGAGGGAGGGGACCTGAATAAGTAGAAGAAATAACAATGGTCTTGGAATGCATAAGTCCTTAAATGGCACAGAAAAATTGAGCAGGCAGTAGCAACTGACAGTTTGAGATGCTGATAAGGTGCTCTGCCTTCTGGGACCTCATTTAGCAGCAGCAATCCTCTGTGATGCATCATCTGAATACAGAAACAAATGGCTGGATAGGATATGTGCCAAGCTCCACCGTGAACTTCCTTACAGTCTTTCTATGGGCTTGATGGTGCTCAATAGAATGATAGTCGTAGACAATTCTCTGGGATGAGTTAAGATAATGATACATGAAAGTCTCTCAATGCCTGATTTAATGATTTTTTAGAAACCAAGTTGAAATTGTGGCTAAAGTAGTAGTCTCAGATAGGTACTGACTAAAATTTTGCAGAATTATTGTTGAAAGAATAACGAAGGATCCCATGTTGATGAGACAGCCTCACTTACCCAAACGATGCAGAGAAGGAAGGGTTGTATTCAGAAGCCAACTCCATATTCTTAACACTGTAACTTTAAACCATACAACTTTAATCTTGCTGGAATTCACTCCATATTACATTTCTCATGTGCCATTTTTACTTCTTTTTAAGGCTTGGTTTAAGGTATTTCTACTGAAGTGATTATCTCTTAATTTTATTTTACTCCACTGTTTCCTTTGTATGTTACAGATGTTAGCATCAAGTTGAAGTAATTTCTCTCTCCTTCAAAATACACATCTTTCCCAGCCTTTTGGACTCTCATGCTTTAACGTCTTCTTTTTAGAATTGTTGATTTTTTGCCTACAGCTTTTGTGAGACAGATTACTTCCTAGCACAGAAGGACTCTTAGTTACACCACAGGAAAAAACGTCCAATTTGTAAAATGCCATACATACCAGTGACTTATAGATCTCTAAACCTTACAGCAGAGTTCAGCATGCAAAATGCATTGGTGCTTGTGGAAAGAAAAAAAACCCAAAAAACAGATACTTCACTGTCTTTGAACAACTTTTCTTGTATTATAATTCAAACATTTTCATGTGAGTCTTTCCCCCATAAAAAAAACCAAAAACAAAAACAAAAAAACCACAAACAAACAAACAAAAACCAAACCAAACCAAACAAAACAAAACAAGTTCAATAAAGAAAAATAACAGTTAAGGGTCTTGCAGAATAATCTAATACCATCATAGATGCATTTAAGATGCACTTAAATTCCTGCAATTTGGAATAAACCTCTTGATCATTGCTCATAGAGCATTACCCCTTATTCCCTTAACAAGAGACATTTCAAGAAAACATTTTTATCTTGGCTTTTCTAAAGCCTTTCATTTTATTTTAAGGGTTAAATAATGGCTAATACTTTACCAGAGGTACATAATTTGTAGTTTCTATAAAGTATATTATAAGCGTGCATACAAGGAGAGGAAAATTCCCTTCCATCTTTACTGTATGTTTTGCCTGCTCACTGCATATTTTGAGTCATTTAACTCTAGATTATTCCACAATAGTCACTGATTTGGATTTTTTTTCACATATTCACAATTTTTTTTTATTCTTATGATTTCCTTTTGTCAAAGATTTCTTAATTTAAATTTTTGTTGATTCTTCTAGCTTAATAAATGGTTCTAAAAGGTTCTAGGCACTGTACAAACACAAGCAACATTTCTGTTGAATTAGTAACTGTCCCTAGAGACTCCTCAAAGAAAACAAATAATGATCTCCAAGTTATATTGTCAATGTCTACAGACCATCTCTGTCTAATGAAAATATTAATTGTTGCAAGTCATAACTCTTTAATAATTAACCCCTAAAATGAACACCTAATAAGACTTTTTTTCAGAGGCATTCATTGCTTCAAATTTTTCATTGCTGTCTGTTGTCTGTAATGTAACTTTTTCTCTTCTGTGATAACACCACAGATTTAAGTATCTATGTTATTGACACTGGTGTAAACATAAGCATAGTCATATCTACTGTGGAATGTAGCTCTTGCCATAAAAAGTGACACTAGTGAGAACAATATTCTGATTTGTCAGGGTACCTGGTACTTTACATAAGCATAAAATTCTACAAAATACAAAAATAAATTTGTTTTTCTAATTTTTTTCACTAATCATGCAAACAGAATTGAGGAAAGCATGTATTTGTATATCATTAAGACGTGCATTATTAAAAAATATTCTCTTTAATGTGTAAAAATATATATAATCTGGAATTAATTTTATTTAGTCCCCTTACTTTTCATATTACAAAGCTTAGCATGCTGTCACAAATACTTTAAAGATTTGTGTCATCGACTATATCAGAGGTCAGAAGTGATGCACCTATTAATTTTGTCCAAATTTTCCAGTAAGGATTTCCAGGCAGCACCCATATCTCCAAAGATACAGTGTTTTAAATTAAGCTTTAATTGTAAAAGCTTCAGTGTAAGGATTCTCCTAAACTGTTTGGCTTCTGTATGCAACTTCTAAAACATAAAAAATTCTAATCATATTAAGGAATGGAAGGTTCCTGAAGTGTAGTCTGTGCTACTCTTGTCAAATACTTTTATCTGAGATTAACCATGTTAATCATGGTCAAACATGCATATCAAACATGGTTTCTCTCTTGAAAGTTCTTCTTTCACTCTTACTGAAATAACTACAGATAAAAAACCAAACCAAAAAAACCTCAAAAAACAATTGAGTTGTATTTAACTCTAAAGCCAAAATTATTATTTAAAAAAAAATATAATACCAAGTTTAGAAGATATATATTATGGATTATATAATGAAGAAAAAATATTCTAGTAGAAATTCCGTTAATTTTTTGTATACTTTGTAATTCCAGAACATAAGGATCATTATATGAAGAATTAAAAATCTCTAGCTCACATATATGTGCACACACAAAAGGAAAGCTGAAACACCAGACAGGGATAAATTGATTGTTCCTTTGTTAAATTGGAATTATTAGCTCTTTGCAGAGGTAAAAGGCTGATTTGAAGGAGTGAGAAGTCAGCTAATGCAGTTGATTTAGTACTTGTCAGTAAAATTGTTCTTTTGTCAGAACAGTTTTTATTAATTTAATATTTTTCCTATATTAAGATCATTATACCTTACTTGGCTTGCATATGCATAAAAGACTTTTGGAAAGCATAATTCAGTTTTTGTTTCATTTATTTCTCTCGGATATCATGCTTTCAAAGTCTTTCCCCCCTGAGTGTAATTAGCATTATTTTTTTTTTAATTCTCTGATCCCTCTTCTCACTCTGTTTGATACTTTCAAATACTATTATCATTTCAAACCCTGATTTTTTTTCTCCATGTACATAAATACTGGCGAAGTTTTATTTAGTAAAGATATCTATTAGAAATGGTTTTCAAGGACTTACTTCAAGAACAGGTACCAGTCCCTGGAAGATGCAGAAAGATTGCATTGCGAAGTTCTAGTCGAAGTCTGGGATCATGTTTATGTCAAGAGGTCAAAGGAGGTGATTCTCCCCCTCTAATTGGCTCCCATGAGACCCCACCTGGAGTACTGCATCCAGCTTTAGGGTCCTCAGCACAAAAAACACATGGATCATTTAGAGTGAGTCCAGAGGAGGGCCAGGGAGAGGATCAGGGGGAAGATCTGGTCTTCCTACAATATCTACAATAAAATGCTGATACTTTTTTTCTAC